ACGCTATCGAAACTATAAACTTATGCGTTGTTAAAATCATGGACCCATACACTATTGAAGTCATGAACCTACCCACTGCAAAACCATTCACGGTTGAAGTCACGAATCAACCATTGTTTAAATCATACGAAAACTACCTATCGTAAAATCGTGAATCTACTCATTATTGAAATCACGAATCCACTCACTATTGAGATCATGAACCGGTATCTTCCACTATTAAAATTGTGAGGTTACTATTGTTGAAATCATGAATTCACCCACTGTTAAAATCATTAACCCATCCACTATTCAAGTCGTAAATCCACCTATTATTGAAATTACGAATCTACTTATTGTTGAAGGCTTGAAAGCATGAATCACTAACCTATCTGCTGTTGAAACCGTGAACTCAATGGAAATCACCAACTCATCCATTTTTGAAGTCACTAACCTGGCCATTGTTAAAATCACTAACTCATCAATTTTTGACTAATGTCGTAAACCTACCCACTGTTGAAATCGTTAATCACCCACCGTTAAAATCGTTAATCACCCACCGTTAAAATCATTAACCCATCCACTATTGAAACTACTTGCCATCCACTGTTAATTCATGAACCCACCTATAAACCATTGAAATCACAAAAATGAACCTACCTATCACTTATGGGAATCATAACTATTCTAACCCGCTTTAGAATATACAAAGTAGTAATATGTTAGTTATGTAGTAAAATAATAAGTGAAGATATACTGATATATGCTGATATATCGATATGAGATGTTACATATTAAAACAACCCATTTTTGCATGTAAATCGGATTTAAATGATCTACAAATAGTAATGCATATCTTTTTACGCCCTTATTACTTATGACAAACTTTTGCATTGAATAGATATCGAATCAAAAATTAAATAAAAAATTTTTTTCAAAAAATTGTAAAAATGGGCTGTTTTAATATGTAACACTCCATATTTGAATAAATATTCGTAATGTTGGATTATCAAAAACATCAATCATCATAAGCAATCATTGAAAATTAACAGCGGAAGTTGGATTCTTTTGCATAAATCTTACCTGCTAGTCTAGCTACCATTACGAGTCAACGATAAAATTCCTTTTCGAGATGACACATGCACAAACAAATGTGCGAGTTAATAAAATAATAGCATCACCAGTCTAAAAAATTTCGTTACCAGCGTTAGGTTTAGTGTTTGGGGTATTTTTATGTTACACCATATCTTTAATTTAATTTGACTGGATAGCGAAATTTTTTAGGTTGGTGACGTGGGTTAATGGGCCAACGTGAAAATTTATGTAGATTGTTTATGTCTACAGATACCGTAGAGCGCTGCATTCAAGACCGGGTAGATTTCAATACCGTCGCGCGAAAATCAAGATTTATGTCCGGGATAAATTAGGATTGTAAGACTAATAATATCCAACAAAACAGACCTATGCTTAAAGATTGGTACAAAATGCCCCTTGAATTGTACCCTCATCTTCACACAATAATACTCTTCGAGTACAAATCAAATTAACCAGAGTATTAAATGCAGTGTTCTACGATAATAATTAGTGATGGGGCTTTCTAAATTATTAATTGTTAATAGGGAATTGTTAAATTAATAAATATTTTTGAGCAATTAATAATTGAATTACCCAAATGCATAAAAGGCATCGATAGAATGATATAATCAGCGATTAAAGGTGTTCTCAAGCAGCTTCCTCAATGTGATTAGCTAGTGATTAGCTAGTGATAGGGATGTTGCTCAAATCATTGCGATCAATTGAGTGGTTAATGTAGTAAACCGAAGGACGACTTGCTAAAATTTCATTGTGCGAAATGCGGATTTTGAATTTTAACCAATCAGAGCAACTCTATGAAAAAAAAAGATGGTCTGATTTTTTTTCATCCAAGTGGTAACCTCCTTGATTAATTTATTTAATTTCCGACTAATTAAAAATTTGACTCCGATCCATTGAGTGAGGTGCTTGAGAACACCCTAAATATAATTTCAATCAATTAATTCAGTAGATAATTTACGATACCATTATGCTGGTGAATAATATCGATAGTTTTTAGGTAGTCGATTTCAAATAATGCTAAAGACGTAAAACTTATAAAAATTATTGGTTGATTTATTTTCGACGAGGAGGTTCTTTATTAATTGCTTAGAAATGTTTAATTTAACAACGAATTGTTAATTTATTAAATACTTAACGTTAACAATTCCTCATTAACTTTTACAATTCCTATCACTACGCAGTAATAACGGTCATGATATAAAAAAAATTGTAAATAACGAATAAGCATTTTTTGATAAAAAATTTTTTTAGAAAATCCGGGTTGCAGTGTTACAAAGACATATAAAATTTTTTTTAAAGCTTTCAGGCCGGGTTATGAAACCAATCAATTAATTTTGCATGGCCTAATATATTAATATACATAAACATTTTTTACTTTTAAATATTAAAATCTCTATTTAAATTAGTTTAAAACAATATATTATGTTTTATATCCAAATATAAAATGCGAAATATTAATAAAGGTTTGTAAAACTTTGGAACATTTATATTTCATTACGTATTTCGAACAATTTAATTCCATAATGTTAATTTATTTACGTACGTACGTACGTATAGAACTTGTCTTTTGTATGTATGGCTAACAATTACGATTAATTTATTTTTAGTCCAGCATCTTGTATTCAAGCATTGTGTCCAATGACAATTATGTTTCAGGATGAACATTCGGGCATGGATTATTGGACATTGCCATGGCCCCTGTATGTGCATAAGTACGCACGTACATACATACCGGTACATACATATAACGATAACCAATAGTTACTCCCTCAGGAAAATGACTCGTGACCGTGGTCGCAATTTAAGTGTGTTCTACGAAAGCCAGCCATTTATTGCACCAAAGTCCTTTGTTTGAAAGCGTATTTTTGATACATTAAAATGAATTATAATAACGCAAATCAAGAACAGTACTTTTTGAATGAGCATAATTCCTTTAATAGGTATTTTAAGACCTGCATTGAAAGTATCCAATGAAATGATAGACACTTTCATCCAATTGAAGAAACAGAATACTCCGGAGTAGACTGGAGTTGGTATTAAACCCGAGTTTCACTAACGTCAAATTGAAGCTATTAACCCAATTTTGGTTGAATTTAAATTTGTTCAACCCAACATAAATTTTTTTTGACAAGAATTGAAGACATAACTTGATTTGACAAGAAAAAGCTGGTTGGAAATTTTCATCCGATGGTTTGAATATTATAATAATTGTATATTTTTACTCACGCCTCTTTATGTCTCTGGTGATTTCATCTTTACAGTATAATGAATATACTATAAAAGATTAGCGACAGTTGGTAGGCTTAAACGAACCTATTTGTATACCAATCGTAACATTTTGAAGATCTAAAAATACGATTTACAAACTTCTAACTGTGAATAGTCTTACCTGATCAACAAGAAGCTGACACGTCGTTTCGAAATAATTCTTGCTTGTAGATCGAACTGAATCTAAATTCACGAGCCACGCTAACAATCCTCTTATCCTCTTTATGCATAATTGGCGATCAAGGACTACTTGAAGGTAAATTACGTGCATTGTAATAACGACAATAGCTGCACATAACAGGGCTAGCAATGTTACACTTATATAATGCCAATCGATCTGAGCAAAAAGCATCGGTCTTGACTCAGCGGTTATTGTTTACATACAAGGCGCAAGATGAAAAAAAAATGTTCATCGTTTGTCTAATTCTAGATGCATAAAGTTGTATGAGATTCTACTATTATATTCTCTCTCATACTGATCATACTAATGCGGCTTTATCTATGCAAAATGCAAGTGCAAAATGGTCAATTATCAATAAGCCAAATCGAAATCTAAATTAAGCATGCATGACGTCATCGATTTTGATTCAAGGTAATGGTGGATACAGAGAAACTGAGATTGTTCAACTTTTGCATAAAAAGTTCCCTTTTTTCTGTAAGAGACTTGTTTTTTTCGTTGCGAAGTTGAGCGTGCTTTCAGGGGTGAAGTGGTAACGTTTTGACACTTCACGCTCTTGTTTCCGCTTTGCGCTGGTCTTGCGGCTTTTCGTTTATTTTATTATTTTTATAATCTCATTTTTCATTTTTTTTTTTATCTTGTTAATTTTTTTTTTCCCTTTCTACTTTCTGGGAAATCACGCCTTCAAATTTTGGACTTTATTCCTTAAGTCAAAAAAGACCCATCGTTTCACACAAACTAGATTTGAAAGGGTTTCGTAAGCAATCTTTACATATTAGCTTACTTCCCATCCTCTCTTATCCTCAACTTTACATCTCTCTTAGAGTTTTCAATTTAGATACTTGCCTTTGTGCATATAGTTTCGTAAGTATACCAGCCTTGAAACTTTTCTAGTAAACGAAATCTCAATCTACTACTTCCTTTGAAAAGTTAGATTTATACACTCAAAACAATGGGTGACGACATTGAATTATCTTTCGATGATACGTTCGAGGATCACTCTGTTGACTCGGACAATAATACTCTTTCAAGGTCAAACTCTTTTAAACTAAAAAAAGGAACTGATAGTCAAAGAAAAAAAGATAAACGCCGCTCAAAGGTGTGCCTTTTATGCCAATATCTTATTATTTTCCATTGGCTTTAAAATTTTACTTTGCATTCCATGAATCCCTTTTTCATCGATGTTTAACTCCTTTGGTAATTATTTCTATGTTCAGTTATGGTATGAGAAATCGAGTCCTCAACCTCAAAGCGATAGTGAGCAAAGCACCGGTACTCAAGAAACAATTCCGACTGCTATTGTTATAAAAAATATTCCATTTTCTATAAAGCGTGACGCGCTTTTGGCTACTCTCGTACGTTTACGCCCCACGTAAATCTTATTCTAGTCTTTTGATAATTTCGTTCTTCAATAATTCTTTCTTCGATTTCAGAATGCTCTTGACATTCCAAGACCATATGCTTTTAACTACCATTTTGATAACGGTGTCTTTAGAGGATTGGCATTTGCCAATTATAGAACTCCTGAAGAAACGGATCTGGTGGTTTCCGCATTAAATGGCTATGAAGTTTCTGGTCGAAAACTTAGAGTTGAATATAAGCGTGTTCTACCCGCTGCAGAAAGAGAAGCTAAAGAAAGAGAAAAGATGGAAAAACAAAAGGTTGATAAAGATTTATCCAATCAAGATGTACGCTTACATGAACAAATTAACAACGAACAATTCGATAAGCCAAAAACAGTTGATAGCGAAAATGGAAAGCATGAAAAAGATAAAAAAGATTCAGAAAGAAGGAGTCCAGGTAATTCTTGTCTCCTTTATTTCTATTGGAATGAGGAATTATTTAATTCAATTATTTTTTATTCAATTTCGTTTATTACTATTATTATTTTTTTTAAAATCCAATTTCGTTTTTTCATTCATTTTAGTATCTGATCAACTCGATCTTAATGATCCTGAGACACTTAAATTCTATGACCAAGTAATCATTTTCCGTGACGATAAAACCCGTGAGGAATTGGTATTTCCAAAAACACTTTCATCCGCCCAACGCCGTACACTACATCTAATTGCTCAAAAGCTTGGTTTGTATCATTACAGCGAGGGTGATGGAGATGATAGAATTTTAAGAATTGTGCGCAAACCAGCTTCTGCTGCTATCACTATAAAGGTTTGTAATTTTGTCTGTCATGATTTTTTTTTGCATTCAAAATTTCTAATCCTGTAATGTCCATTCAATCTATAGACAACAAGGAATGGTGGCTCTTTGGGTAAACGGGCGGGGCACCAGTTATTTTCAAATTTATCTGAGAGTCCTTCGAATAGATCTGTACGGGGAGATGCTTCTCCATTATCACGGTCTCCATTTAGAAAATCTTGGCTGTAAGTACTTCTTCCTTCTCGTTCTTTCATTAGCAATTATACGAAAAATTCTGGTTTCAATTGAATCTTACAATTCTTTTGATTTTGTTTATTAAAAAAAAAAAATACGTACATATCTATATATGTATATGTATATAGTAATGATGGAACACCTATTGTTTTTCCAATTCGGCAACCAAGAGGACCTGATCCAGCCCAAAATTTTGCCTTTCGTCCATCTCGTTTACACTCTGCTATTCCATTTGGTGTGTCGGATGATGATTCAGTGTCAGATTATGCTGAGCACAGAAGATCGGGCCTTTTTGATGTGCATGCGCCTGCTTTCCAATCGATTACATCATAGTATGTATTTGGTTTGGACACTAATGATATTGTGTTTATATAACTGGCGTTCATTTTATCTATTTCGTTGTCATACATGACAATTTGGACATACATTTATTTTATTTTATTTTCTCTTTTTTTTTTTTTTTTTCTTGTTTGCATTTGACTTTTAGAATTTTTGGTTGTTTCTTTTTTTTTTTTCTTCTTAAATTTATATATTATTTTATACACCAACCTGTTTTTTGTTTGTACTTTATAGTTTAACATATATAGACAATGTTCCGAATAAAGTTTAGTTGTTAAAGAGAGGTTGTTTTTAATGTATTTCTCTTTGTTACGGGGAATTCTTCACAATTTCCGTTTTATTAACTTTTTAAGGAATCATTTTGTATTTATTTGGCAATTTAATAAACATTTTTTTTTTGTATACAATAAAAAAGGTATTTATTTACTTTTTATATAAGTGTTGATTTTTTTGAAATTGTTAAAGGGGATTCAAAAATAAACTAAAGCTTTTGGTTTAAATTATATCTAAATTATTGAATTAGCAATTCTTCATTTATTGTTACGGCTGATGCTGAAGTTTGGCTGATGTTGAAGCTAAAAAATCTGATTGGCTAAATTTTGCAGATC